CCCCCCCTACTCACAAGGCAGGCAATACGCTTGACCTCATCTTTACTAGATGCTGTTCTTCTACTAATCTCACTGCAACTCCCCTCCATGTCTCCGACCACTACTTTGTATCCTTTTCACTATCGCTCTCCTCCAACACTACTCACTCTGCCCCTACTCAGATGGTAATGGGCCGTCGCAACCTTCGCTCTCTCTCTCCCGCTACTCTCTCCTCTTCCATCCTATCATCTCTTCCCTCTAGTCAATCCTTCTCCCTCCAATCTCCTGATTCTGCCTCCTCAACCCTCCTCTCCTCCCTTTCTGCATCCTTTGACTCTCTATGCATTTCCGAGCGGAAATGGAGGAAAACTAGACTCCCTGCGGACCTGGCATCTTTTCACTCCCTCCTCTCTACATTTTCTTCATCTGTTTCTGCTGCTAAGGCCACTTTCTACCACTCTAAATTCCAAGCATCTGCCTCTAACCCTAGGAAGCTCTTTTCCACCTTCTCCTCCCTGCTGAATCCCCCCCCCCTCCTCCTTCTCTGTGGATGACTTCGCCAACCATTTTGAAAAGAAGGTTGACGACATCCGATCCTCGTTTGTTAAGTCAAATGACACTGTTGGTCCTGCTCACACTGCCCTACCCTATGCTTTGACTTTTTTCTCCCCTCTCTCTCCAGATAAAATCTTGCGACTTGTGACGGCCGGCCGCCCAACAACCTGCCCGCTTGACCCTATCCCCTCCTCTCTTCTCCAGACCATCTCCGGTGACCTTCTCCCTTACCTCACCTCGCTGATCAACTCATCCTTGACCGCTGGCTATGTCCCTTCCGTCTTCAAGAGGGCGAGAGTTGCACCCCTTCTCAAAAAACCAACACTCGATCCCTCTGATGTCAACAACTACAGACCAGTATCCCTTCTTTCTTTTCTCTCCAAAACTCTTGAGCGTGCTGTCTTTAGCCAACTCTCTTGCTATCTCTCTCAGAATTACCTTCTTGATCCAAACCAGTCAGGTTTCAAGAATGGTCATTCAACTGAGACTGCTCTTCTCTGTGTCACAGAGTCTCTCCGCACTGCTAAAGCTAACTCTCTCTCCTCTGCTCTTGTCCTTCTAGACCTGTCTGCTGCCTTTGATACTGTGAACCATCAGATCCTCCTCTCCACCCTCTCCGAGCTGGGCATCTCCGGCGTGGCTCACTCTTGGATTGCGTCCTACCTGACCGGTGGCTCCTACCAAGTGGCGTGGCGAGAAGCTGTCTCCGCACCACGTGCTCTCACCACTGGTGTCCCCCAGGGCTCAGTTCTAGGCCCTCTCCTATTCTCGCTATACACCAAGTCACTTGGCTCTGTCATATCCTCACATGGCCTCTCCTATCATTGTTACGCAGACGACACACAACTAATCTTCTCCTTTCCCCCTTCTGATAACCAGGTGGCGAATCGCATCTCTGCATGTCTGGCAGACATATCAGTATGGATGACGGATCACCACCTCAAGCTGAACCTTGGCAAGACGGAGCTGCTCTTCCTCCTGGGGAAGGACTGCCCGTTCCATGATCTCGCCATCAAGGTTGACAACTCAGTTGTGTCCTCCTCCCAGAGTGCGAAGAGCCTTGGCGTGACCCTGGACAACACCCTGTCGTTCTCCGCTAACATCAAGGCGGTAACCCGATCCTGTAGGTTCATGCTCTACAACATTCGGAGAATACGACCCTGCCTTACACAGGAAGCGGCACAGGTCCTAATCCAGGCACTTGTCATCTCCAGTCTGGATTACTGCAACTCGCTGTTGGTTGGGCTACCTGCCTGTGCCATTAAACCCCTACAACTCATCCAGAATGCCGCAGCCCATCTGCTGTTCAACCTTCCCAAGTTCTCTCACGTCACCCCGCTCCTCCGCACACTCCACTGGCTTCCAGTTGACGCTTGCATCTGCTACAAGACCATGGTGCTTGCCTACGGAGCTGTGAGGGGAACGGCACCTCCATACCTTCAGGCTCTGATCAGTCCCTACACCCAAACGAGGGCATTGCGTTCATCCACCTCTGGCCTGCTGGCTCCCCTACCTCTGCGGAAGCACAGTTCCCGCTCAGCCCAGTCAAAACTGTTTGCTGCTCTGGCACCCCAATGGTGGAACAAGCTCCCTCACGATGCCAGGACAGCGGAGTCACTCACCACCTTCCGGAGACATTTGAAACCCCACCTCTTCAAGGAATACCTGGGATAGGATAAAGTCATCCTTTTATCCCCCCTCCCCCCTTACCCCACCCCACCCCCAAAAAAACAAAAAAACATTGTAAAGTGGTTATCCCACTGGCTATAAGGTGAATGCACCAATTTGTAAGTCGCTCTGGATAAGAGCGTCTGCTAAATGACGTAAATGTAAATGTAATTCGGCCTGGTAAGATAGTAGTAAGGACGTAACGTTCAACGCCCGTAAAGAATGTGCAGCAGAGACTTAGACATTTTGGTAGATAGACGTGGAGAAGCGGTTCGTCTTAACAGGGAGAGAAGTGCCCGTCTTTGACGAGGTACTGGGGTTGAGGTGGTTGGCCAGTGACCACTCAACCACTAATGGCTTGTCCTTGACATTCATTTTGGCAAAAAGTCTGGTCTGGACATTGCCAGTCAAAGGTTTATCCCAATTGCATTTTGCTTCAGCCACGCAAGCTGGGAGGAGTTGTTTGCCTGGGACGGTGCTAGAGGGGAGTTTACTAATGTCGTACCAGTCCCTCTCTGTGATGCCACCCCCCATGGGTATGAGCTGCACATTTGCTGACATATATGAGCGAATATCTCATCCACCATCGATGCCCTGCTAAGTTTGCAGGTTCCATGGCTCCAAAAAACAGCTAACAAAGTGAAACGTAACTAGCGTTCACGACTTGGGCTAGTAGCCTAGCTAGTTAAGAGTGCTGGCCAGAGAAGCTAATCCTTTAACAATGTGAACATAGCTTACGTTCGCCACGAGGGCTAGTAGCCTAGCTAGTTAGCACAAAATTAGCCAAAGGAAGCTAGCACTATGTTGGTCATGCGACGAACAAAAGCGTGGCTCTTGACCGATAAGCAGTGACGCTAGGATGGTTGGTCTAGTCAACGGCGATGAAGGGTTGAACTAAACGAGAGCGCAAACTAGTAATTCTACCCTTCCAGATAGCTAGCCTTGCAGCGAGTTAGCCAGGTTAGCTAAGCCTTGCAGCTAAGCTAGCCAAGTCTCCGCAGCTAGCCATGTGATGCTAGCTACTAAAGGAGACAAAGGAAGAAAGGCGCTGAAGCAAATTCTTACCCGAAAATATCACCCAACACAAAAGACGAGAGCTGGTAAGGTTACGCCACCGAGCGCAGGGTTAACGGCACACATGTGAACAGTTAAACAGGAAAAATTATCAAGTCGTGCTGAGGAGAGCCAAGTAGAACTCTTCTGTGAGGAAGAGATGTGAGAATGATAAGAGGGCAGGTGAGTGGCTCTTTGGTATGAGAGGAAGGGCTCCCTCATTCGCCACTCGACTGGTCTGATTAGTCCTTCGAGCTACTTAAAGGATTCTAGTGAATCCCAATGAGATGTCGAAACAAATAATTGAAAGAGAACCAGTGTGCGTCTGACATTTAAGTACCTGCCCTTTTATCATGTAGAAGAGGATAAGAAGAGAACTCCCTCACCATTGTTGTTCATAGGCCAAAGAGCTACAGTATATTTTCCTCTCATCTAACAAATGTAAATAGAGTTTGCATGGAATTAAACTAGAATTTTCTAAACAGCATTGGCACTTGTAGTAGAATCGGTGCGTTAGTTGATGACATGAAAACAGAGCTCTTTGGCCATGCACACCAGTGGTGGGTTTGGCATCGAAATGAGAATGCATGAGCAGAAATGAATCCCATACCTACTTTCAAATATGGTGGTGAATTTTATTTAACCTTTATTTCATCAGGGAGTCATACTGAGACCAAGTTTTTTTTTACAGATGAGCCCTGAATGTAATAAATTACAGAAAATAAACACATCAATATAAATACAAAATGCAAGAAGAAAGAAAAACAGTTCATAACTTTCTGAATTGCCCTAGAGGCACCAAAACATAAAATGTAAGAACATTTTGAAGATTGTTCCACAAATAAGGTGCAAGAAAACTAAAAGCTGATTTACCTAACTCAGTAGAGACCAAAGGGATTTTCTGAGTTAGCCATCCCTGAGACCGGGTGTGGTAACTCATATGTCTAAAGTTTAGTAATGATGTTAGGTACAGTGGGACTTTTTGTAAAAAGGCTTTATAAATGAAAACATAGCAATGCATCAACCTACATGTTTGAGCCATTATGCTTCCACTGGTCCTGCGGCCCATGTTAAGGTCAACAGCATAGTGAACTACCCAGTACCAGGACATTTTAGCCAAAAACCTGGTTGCCTCTGCCAGGAGGCTGAAACTTGGCCACAACTGGCTTGTACTGCATGACAATAACCCCAAGCACACATCAAAATCCACCAGGAAATGGTTAATTGGCCACAAAATCAACATTTTGAAATGGCCATCTCAGTCTCTGGACTTGAAACCTATTGAAAACCTTGAAGAGGGCAGTCCATAAGCGCAGACGAATGATATCAAGGATCTGGAAGGATTCTGTAAGGAGGAATGGTCTAACATCACTCCCAATGTGTTCTCCAACTCATAAAACATTTTAGAAAAAGGCTCTGCCATTATTCTCGCATGGTAAGGTATTGAAAGGTATTGAAAACAGGGGTGTCAATCACTTTGACCCCTACGTTTTTGAAAAAAAAGTATTACTTGTTAAACAAAATCTCTTTCTCTGAGCCATTGTATTAGTATAAAACAATATAATTACCCCATTTTTTTAGCATACAATATAGCTCAGTATTAGAATGATTTATTTTATACAGTCATTTTTTGCTAATCTTTATCAAGGGTGTCAATATTTTTGGGCACCACTGTATGTGTGTGTTACCGTGACTGTCTTGGGGATCCTCTCCGCGGGGGTGGATACCACAGACTTCCTGCTGACCTTAGACTTGAACAGGGTGTTCATCAGGGTCGACTTCCCCAGACCACTCTGGCCTGTTAGGGACAACCACACCCAGGGGCTTAGTTTGCTATAGGTCTGGACGGACACGCACACATACACACACACACACACACACAACACCACACACACACACCACACACACACACACACACACACACACACACACATGATCTTCCGAGTTCATACATGATAGCAATGAGAGAAATTAATACTTTTTGACCTTGCCCAGATAGGTCTTCATTGACATTCCCCAAACACTGTTTGTAATGGTTTAGGATCTCCTCAGAACCACTATGACATCTAGTATGTATACAAAACACACTCCCGCAGGGCTCATATACAAACACACCGTGTGTGTGTGTTGTGTGTGTGTGTGTGTGTGTGTGTGTGGTGTGTGTGTCTGTGTATGCGCTCTACTCTACACCATCACCACGCCACACATAAATAACCGTTGTATCAAGTCTGACACCAACAGGCTCCTAAACAGCTTCTATCCCCAGGCCATAAGACTGCTAAATAGCTAACAGAATGGCTATGAGGACTATCTGAATTGACACAACATGCACACACATTTATACTGACTCCACACATTAAAACTTGAAACTTAAAACACTGAGTGATATCTAAGCAGGGAAGAAAGACTTAAGGTCTTTCAACATGCTCTTTGTTGCTTCAATCACATCTCAGTGTGTTCTCATCCCCCTAGATCCATCTGCTGGCTCAGGCTCTGCACACTCTTGGATTGCATCCTACCTGGCAGGTCGCTCCTACCAGGTGACGTGGAGAGGATCTGTGTCTGCACCACATGCGCTCACTACCGGTGTCCCCCAGGGCTAGGTTCTAGGCCCTCTCCTCTAAATACCAAGTCACTCGGCTCCATCACAGCCTCACAGTCTCACCTATCATTGCTATGCAGATGACACGCAACCACTTTTCTCCTTCCCAAACCTTCTGACACCCAGGTGGTGACATGCATCTCTGAGTGCCTGGCAGACATCTCAGCTTGGAAGTCTGCCCACCACCTCAACCTCGACAAGACGGAGCTGCTCTTCCTCCGGGTGAAGGCCTGCCCACTCCAAGACCTCTCCTTCACAGTTGACTCCATGGGGTCCCCCTCCCAGAGTTCAAAGACCTTTGGCGTGACCATGGACAACAATCTGTCATTCCCTGCAAACATCAAAGCAGTGACTCGCTCCCGCAGTTTCATGATCTACAACATCCGTAAAGTACAACCTTTTTTCACACAGAAAGCGACGCAGGTCCTAATCCAGGCACCTGTCATCTCCTGTTTGGATTACTGAAACTCTGTTGGCTGGGCTCCCCGCTTGTGCCATAAAACCCCTGCAACTTAACGCCAGAACGCTGCAGCCCACCTGGTGTTCAACCTAACTAAGTTCTCCCTTGTCACCCCGATCCTCCACACACTCCACTGGCTTCCAGTCGAAGTTCGCATCGACTTCAAGACCCTGGTAATTGCCTATGGAGCAGCAAGAGGAACTGCCCCTCCCTACTCTTCAGGGCTATGCTCAAACCCTACACCCCCAACCAGAGTTACTCGGTTCTGGCACACTCCCTTTGGTCTCTTGGCCCCTCCCACCCCTAAAGAATATATTGCGATAGGTATACAAATGTTAAGCAAGGTTTTGGAAATTAATGTTTTTTAGTTCAAAGGTTATATTCCAGTTTGGGCTTCTTGCAGTAATTTGCAGTCTACAAATTATTTTTAATAATGTTTGGCCCCTGACCATTCGCTCCAAGAAAAGAAAATGAATAATATAGTTGAGATCCCGGTCATACAATCACTGCGACCGCTTCGCGCGGCCCCGAGCGCATACAACACCACGCTGCACGATGAGCCCACACTATTTCTAAAGGCATGTGTGTGTAGAGGTGTGTTTATGAGCCCCTATGTTTCTGTGTTGTGTTGTGTGTATTGGTGTGTGTGTGTGTGTGGGTGTGTGTGTGTTTCTGTGTGTGTGGTGGTATGTTGTGTGTGGTGTGTCCCCCTGTGTGTTGTGTGTCATGTGTGTTTGTTTCTGGTGTGTGTGGTGTGTGTGTGTGTCTCTGGTGGTGTGTGTGTGTGAAGAAAGGGCACAGATTTGGTGGTGGCATTTAATTGGCCCTTTTGAGCTGTTGATGTTCTCTTAACGAGAGTGTGCTTCAGCTTGTTACAGTATGGGCATCATTACTACTCCATCTCTCTGCCTGACAGCTTTCTTTTATCTACTGAAGGATGCATGCCACTATGTGTAGTGTGTACCAATCTCAGGGGCACTCGGGGTAAGGGTTCCCCAATGGGGTTTCATGCTAGTATTGAAGAACAAGCTGGAGTGTGTGTATGTCTACATGCATATTAAATGCCTCTCAGCAACAACCATGATGTTGAGCTCAAAGCCCTGTTTCATGGCTTTCTTCCTCATCTGCTCCAGGGCGGTATCGATGCCCAAGTAGCTGAAGTCGCCAGCGCCATGTGATGGCAGGGTGCGAATGTGGTGGGATGGACATTGTGGCTCGGTTACTGTGGCTCGGATTGACCTCTGACCCTGATGAGGCAATAGGAGAGAGAGAGACCAGTTAGTCAGGGTTCTGTGACATGATTTTGGAGGAACCCGTTTTAACTGATGCTTTGTCAGCATGGAACATTGTAAAGGAACATTTTAAATAGGAGAGCTCCATGCTGACAAACATTATGATAAATATTTTCCATCTCACTCTTTTGAATGAAATGACTCAGACCCCCCCCCCCCCCCCTTTAACCTACTAAAATGGAAGATTCCAGATCCCCGAGGGATCAAACCGAGCCAACAACCTGCTAAAATTGAAGATTCCAGAGGGATCAAACTGAGCCAACAACCTGCAGAGAAGAGTAAATCACACAGAGCAGCTTACAAAACACATCCGCTCCCTAGCGTCGTATAAATCTGAAGATATATATTCAACTTGTCATGCCTTACAATAGCCATTTATTTTGTTTGGATTCAGGCTGTTGCGTTCCCCAGAAGAGCATTTGGTGAACAATGATGGGAAGCTGTAAAATGTTGTGTGTGTATCTGTAGCTGGCTGCAATGTGTGTTGGGGGTATGTGTGTACACACGTGTGACTGTGTGTTTGTCACTAGGAGGTGGAGTAAGGTCCCCTACTGCAGTGGTTCTCAAACCTCTCCTTGGGTACCCCAAGATGTTTCACAATTTTGTTGTAGCCCTGAACTAACTCACCTGATTCACCTACTAGTCAAGGGCTTGATGATTAGTTGACAAGTTGAATCAGGTGTGCTAGCTGTGGAATAGATCAAATACATGGAACGGCTGGGGGTCCCCGAGGAGAGGTTTGAGAACCACTGCCCTACTGTGCAGGCAGCCTCTCTGAAAACTGAGAGACAGGGTACAAATAGGCACTAATGATGATATTAAAGTTCAAGCTTTAGCCATCCCGTCCCTGGGTACCACGACAGTGCCAGCCAGCTCCCCCTGTGCCATCTGCTGGGTTATGTGACGTCTGTGTTCTCCAATAATACAGCTGTGTAGTGCTAGGGCAAAACCCAAAAAGTTCACCCCTTGGGGTCCCCAGGTCTATGGGCCCTTGGCCATGAGCTTGTAGACATGAAAAACGTTGGCATTTGAAGATCCAATAAATGGGCGGGGGAGAGGAGGGGGGGAGAAGAGGGTGCTGCTGTGTAACCACCATAGTCTGTGAGTGATTAATGTGGTGGTAGGTCTCCCTTAATTTAAAACCAGGCTGGTCTCTCTTTACAAACAGGGGATTAACACAAGAACCCATGTCAAACACACAGAGACGGACACGTTTTATATATGTTGCTGTATAGGTACCAGCCCTCTAGATATGTATGACTGTTATGGAATGGAATGAGGAGGAAGAACGGTAGCGAATGTGAAAGAGGGAATGACATTGGGGCATCAAACTTTTATAGAAAGCATTGCCTTCCTTTTATGAGTCAGGATAGCGGCCAGGCGTAAACATTGTTCTACAGAGCACTGGTAGCCTTTGAAGCCTGCTGGGTCCAGACAGTCAGACATCTCTGGCTGAATCACCTAGGGGCTTTTGTGATTGGTTAAGAGGAGTCACCTGCACAGGTGAAACGGATTGGCAATCAAGACATAATTGTAAACAATAAAAATATCAATCTTTATTTCTATGACATAGCATATCAAAGATAAACCATACTCTCATCATACTATAACAAATTACACAATAACTATACAACAGTAAACGTATTACCTTTTGTAATTTTTGATGTTATGTAAGATACATTGCTGAATGAATAGTACTCTTGGTTTTGACCTCTGTCCATTAGTTTTTGGCTGAGTGAAGAATTGTGTTTGGCTGAATGGCACATTTATGACTTTTTGGAATAAACGTTTAGTAGGGAAGCTAAGGGAGTTATACATTGACTACACCGGGAATGCAAAACTGTCGGGGAACTAAATATTATTTCAAGCTGTGTATGTAGGCTACATATTCAACCTACCTGTAGTCCTATTCTGTATCATGTCCAAAAAGACAGAACATAAATCTAGATTCATACAATTCTCTATAAATACAGGGGAGACAAAGCATGATGGCAAACAAATACAACCAAAGAGGGTCTCTATAGATTTTCTATCCTCTCTGGTACAACTACTCTCTGAGAACAACGGGCGTGTGTAGGCCGACTGGTAGGCTATATGAATATCAAACTCAATTAAAAAGTGAGTACATAACAAGCATAAATATCTATTTGTAAATCAATTCTATATATTTGCTTCTCTTTAAAACAGAAATGGCATTTATTTGGTTTAGAGAAAGGTCCGGTAGCATAGGGATGTCTGTTCCCTACATCCCCACCATCCAGATAATAAACAATACAATATTATAACACAACAGTAAATGTAAAATGCACTGTATGTATGAACATGATACGTTTAACAACATATGACATTGGCATATTGACAGGATGGTTTGGCAAGAGGTCTTAAAGATATGAAAACACAATTGAAAAAGAAAGGGATTTCAAAGCTGCTCCACACTGCATTGCTGCTTTTCTGGGCAGTGCAGATGTGTCAAAATATACAAAAACCTAAACCCTACCCACCCCTATCTCCAATATCTCCAATATCTAGACAACACTATACAGCACAACACACACGTAGAACAGGTAATTTGACCAGTTATTTCTAGTTTAGCTAAATGATGATGTGCTATACTTAGATAGCTGTTCTGTACACATCTGTATGCTATACTATTGTGGCATCCCATCTCCCTAGGGGACATCTTGTACTGTTTACCCAACAGCTCTGACCTACAACTACCTACACTAGAAATGTCAGGTAACAGAAACTCTGTTTGGCAGTTGGACCATGTAAGAATTGTTATTGGTACCCTCTTTGGAGTGTATACAGTTTATGTCAGCCAGTTTTGATGGGTGTTGGTGTGTGTGGATGTGTGTGTGTGTCACATGTGTGTCACGAGGTGTGTTTGCATGTGGTGTGTGTCACAGTATGCCAGCCATTTTATATATATATATATATATATATATATACACACGTGTGTGTGTGTGTCTGTGTGTGTGTTTCTGCAGGTGGTCAGACGTCTACATCTCATGGGTCAGGACTTGGTGCTGTGCTGCCACCCCATTGGCCTGCTGTGGCTGTGGGTTGACCAGTGTGTTGAGTGGCTGGCCATTGGGCTGGGCGTTGGTCTCATTTAGCCTGCGGACGCGGTACACCTCATAGTGGATGCTACTGGTGATGTCCTTGATGTTCTGCATGTGGGTCCTGACAGAGAGGAAACGAAGATGGGGATTTAGTGAGAAATGTTACCCAGAGAAACATCAAGCGTCATCAAAACACTGCTCAAACACAGTCCTAAATCACAAGTGAATTACTCATTATCCCCATCACTTAAAACCCTGTTAATATTCACCTGATGAGAAGGTCTCGCAGATAGGCAAACTCGCAGTGTGCAATGTTCTCAACTGCAAAAAGAAAAAAAAAGATGTTTTTTTTACATTCTATAGGATAAACAGCAAGTGTTTTTTGTTTACAGTTACTTAAATAATATTCAATCCAATAGCCCACGTACCAAATATTTTGTGTATCAAGGTGTGTATATTTATGCATAGTCACTTTAACTCTACCCACATGTACATATTACCTCAACTAGCCGGTGCCCCCGCACATTGACTCTGCACCGGTACCCCCCTGTATATAGCCTCCCTACTGTTATTTTATTTTACTTCTGCTCTTTTTTTCTCAACACTTTTTTGTTGTTGTTGTTTTATTTTACTTTTTTATTAAAAAATAAATGCATTGTTGGTTAAGGGCTGTAAGTAAGCATTTCACGGTAATGTCTACACCTGTTGTATTCGGGGCATGTGGCAAATACATTTTTATTTGATTTATAACAAGTTCAATGCCGTGTGCTATTCTACACTCTGCCACAAGATGGGAGTGTTGCGCCAAAGACAGGTCAAGGATGCCCATTTAACTTGACATCTGCAGCAATGTTCTTAAATCAAGATTACACCCTCCACTACAAGTAATTTAATACATCTAGGCCCCCTTAGCAAGTCAGACAGTTTAACAAACTCTCCATGACAATTTGCTGGAGTCTACAAAGGGTCCAACACATGTTTGAATGATAGATTATGTCAAGTCCACAAAATGAAAAAGGAGAGCTATTTATGTGAAATCGCAGCGCAGGAAATTACATTTCATCCCTCCTAGGGAGGGGCAGGGGAGAGGAGGGGGGGAGAAGAGGGTGCTGCTGTGTAACCACCATAGTCTGTGAGTGATTAATGTGGTGGTAGGTCTCCCTTAATTTAAAACCAGGCTGGTCTCTCTTTACAAACAGGGGATTAACACAAGAACCCATGTCAAACACACAGAGACGGACACGTTTTATATATGTTGCTGTATAGGTACCAGCCCTCTAGATATGTATGACTGTTATGGAATGGAATGAGGAGGAAGAACGGTAGCGAATGTGAAAGAGGGAATGACATTGGGGCAGCGGTAGAGACGTGCCCAGCAGCTTCCTCTCCCTCCCTCCCTCCCTCCCTCCCTCCCTCCCTCCCTCCCTCCCTCCCTCCCTCCATCCCTCCATCCCTCTCTCCCACTGCCTGAGCTGGCTGGGCTAGATTCATTGTTCCCTCAGCCAGGGGACAACCACATTTCCCACTTTTATCACATCCATGCTATCACAAACACACCTTTGTCTTAGAGTTCAATTACAGTCCATGGGTGTTTTAAAGACACCTTGACAGTTCAAGAGCAGGTCCTAAGTACTAGAACACTAGAAGGCTGTGTATGCTAAGCTCACTGGTTGTTTGGTCCTTTGAACACACCTAACAGCAACAGAGGTCCAGAATAATATTGCTGTGCATCAGCCGTCTGTCTACAAGTGTGGAGTGATGAGAGGAGCATTCACCAAGGGCCAAGAGGGGCCCTGGAGGGGCCAGGTGCAATCTGGGAAGGAGACAGTCAGCCCTCCAGTGAACAGGAGCTGTGACATTCCTCTCTTTCCCCCTCTCTCTCTAGACCTCCTCCTTCTCTTTGTCCTCCACATGATCACCTTCCTTAGATGCCACCCCCCCCTTCAGGGTCAAGAACACTCACTTGGTACGACCCCCTTCTTGGTAGTAAGAGTGCTCAGTGCAGTCCAAAAAACATAAACACTGTATGGAAGTTGTTACTGTGAATTGGTGTGTGTGTGTGTGTGGTACAGTATCTTTGTCTGTGCACATTTCCCCCACTGTGTTATGGATGCAGACAGGTCAGTAGATCCTCCTTGTGTCTGTGACTTAAAAATGTCTTTAGTCACAGACCAGAGAAACGTGGATATGAGAAACACTTGCTCATAGTCACACAAAAGACTACATCATTTGGCTGGGATTTAAACATGTACTGGTAGCAGTAACATGCATGGTTGATCCACTGTACTGTGCAGTCCAATCAGGCAATGGCAAATCTGCTTCAACCCATTTTACATGATTCATTTGACAGGGATAGTAATGGATGTGTGTGTGTTGAATTACCTTCTATGGTGCCCCACTTTGTTTTTCTGCCCAGAAGCTTCTTTCCATTGACCTGGTACTCCTGGTCGCTCCCCACCACAGCAAATGGGATCATCTCCTATGACACACACAACACATGGTTTAAGACCAACAATGCTTTATAATGAATCCATGCGTCGGTCGGTCAGTGGTGTGTGTGAGTGTGTGCGTATTTCCAACACTGTAAACCCACCCTGATCTTATCATTGGTCATCCTGTCGTCAGCGTCCTCGTCAAACTCCTTCTGAGGGTAGACGTCGATCCCGTTGGCTCGCAGCTCTTCCCTGATCTGCACAAACATAAAACAGAAACACGTCACAATCTAACACCAGGTTGCAGTGTTACATCAATGTACTGTAGAACAGCACCAAGTCATCTAGTCCTGGAGGTGGAGGAGTGTGTCCTGCCCAGTACAACACAAAACAAAGCCTTTCACTCACCACCAGGCGAAAGACTTGCCTGAGACTTGTGTCACATCAGAATCCATCAACAGTAAGTAAGCTTACTCATTCTTCCAACTCAACTTTCACTGGCTAACTGCCAACAATAAAAACATAAATTATTCATGCAGATAGCCAGATTGTTAGACCAGTATGAGGTCACCATGACTGAAAATATAACAGAATAGGAAATGACTGACTACAATTCTAGTGTAGCTCACTCTGAGTCCATCATAAACACTGCTAAGGCTGGTTTTGATGTTAAATGATCTAGAGTGTTCCCTAACATGGAGGGTTAATGTGGAGGTTAACCACTATTATACAAATATACAGCCAGACAATGAGGTTTACAAAATGGCCGCCTTTCTTCTTCTATGACTTTATAATGACTGGAACACAGACAAGAGAGAGTGAGAATGACTTCTGCCAGCGGTGATGGCCTTTAAATTAATGACCGTTCCGCTCACAATTACTACTTTGACAGTTTCCACTCGGTCGATGATGAACAGGTTTTCTAAATTTCTCTGTTTATACTTTTTGGAAAGTTTAAACTTTAACTTTCTCAGCCTTAGGCCTACATTATAAGCCTACAACAGTCGGGGGAACCTGAACAGAGCACACACATGCAAGCCCGCACTAACTGTTGGACACAGAGGGTAAAACAATAAAAAGCTTGTTCCCTTTGCTTGCATGTCAACTGCTGCAGGGAACAGAGAACAAGAAAGAAACGTCAAAAAAACAGTAAGATCACAATCCCAGGGTCGTACATTGCCCAGCCCATGCAGCCAACCAAAACAAGCAGGGTTACAAGCCCCAGAGCTTCACCTCGCTCTGCCTTGTTCTCATTGGCCATTGTCGGGGGAAACGGTAGCCAAGTCGCCCAGTGTGTTTCCTCCACCAGAATTAATAAAGCTGTGTCGCAGGAGGCCAGAGAGAGGGAGACTAGCGTCCCTCGAATGTGTGTGTGTGTGCGTGTTCCTTTCTTCTCCCACACTGACCACTGGCCAACAAACACACACTGGACAGAGGGGGGTGCAGAGGCCTTTTTAAACTAAGCCAAGCAGGTCGTTTAGGCCTGTGTATCTTGGTATAGTGCAGATTTCAAGACACAGCAGGAAGAGAAAGCAGCAACTGAGAATTCCATCGAAGTTGGCCTCTATACCATAGACATGAGTCATCAACAGAAATGGCTGTGCTTTCTTTCATGGAGGAGTAGCTACTAGACGGACCACCACTGGACAGCCTCTACCAATTAGATACTAGACAGCCTCTACCAAGTAGTTCCTAGACAGCCTCTACCAAGTAGTTCCTAGACAGCCTCTACCAAGTAGTTCTAGATAGCCTCTACCAAGTAGTTCCTAGACAGTCTCTACCAAGTAGTTACTAGACAACCTCTACTCAGTAGTTACTAGACAGCCTCTACCAAGTAGTTCCTAGACAGCCTCTACCAAGTAGTTCCTAGACAGACTCTACCAAGTAGTTTCTAGACAGCTCTACCAAGTAGTTTCTAGACAACCTCTATCTATCATGTAGTTACTAGACAGCCTCTACCAAGTAGTTTCTAGACAGCCTCTACCAAGTAGTTTCTAGACAGACTCTACCAAGTAGTTTCTAGACAGACTCTACCAAGTAGTTTCTAGACAGACTCTACCAAGTAGTTTCTAGACAGACTCTACCAAGTAGTTTCTAGACAGACTCTACCAAGTGCTGCATAACCCTTACCCTAAACTCTGGAGGGGAACTCCTCATCTGAGGTCCTGTGGTGGTTTCTCCATCTCCTGTACCCAGTAGCTTCTTGCTAATAAGAGACTAGCCTGCTACAGTACAGCTGCCTCTGAGGTTTAAAGAAAGCTGGAATACTGTGCTTTAAATAAATAACTTCTTAAAATGCTCCTTTCTGGCTAAAAACATCAGTTGGTAAGTGTTCCAGGGTTTCATACCGCTACACCCCAGACTGGGCAGAGTACAGTAGTTCATCCAGATGGCTGCTGTTTGTAATGCCTGGCATGGCTTCATACCGGCCTGTGTGTGTTCTTACCCTCGTGTTACCCTGCTGTAAAGGCCTAATGCCAGCCAAGGTCAGGTTGTTGTAGTGCAAAAGGGACTAGTTTAAAAGCATAGGCTATTTGTGTACACACACGTGCATGTATACACATTACGCACGTGCACACACCTTACCGTCTGTTTGAAGAAGTCCCTCTCCTCCAGGGTGAGTGTGTCTGCCTTAGCGATGACAGGGACTATGTTGACCACTTTACTCAGACGACTCATAAACTCCACATCCAGGGGCCTCAGACTGGAGAGAGACAACATGGAGGGAGAGAGAGAGGGGGGATAAGGAGAGAGAGAGAAATATGTTAATAAGATAACTTCAAGAGTAAAGGAGATATTTCAGATTTCCTTTGGGTCTTGGTAGGTTACATTGTAATGCAGCACTGTGGTATAATTGAAAACACATCCAAAACGTGTATTCAATCACAAAATACATTTATTTTGAGACGTATGATAAAGCAGTGTATTGTGAGGGAATATATGTCACATCCACTGAAGACTCTTCAGTCATAGATGATATGAGACAGATATACCACTAGGGGGAAATGATGGTCCACTGTCTATTCTTTTCTGATCAATGACAATGTGATTGTGCAGCAGTGTGCCAGTATAATCCTAGTTCTCAAATTTAAAAAGCAAATCACAACCTCTTTCCAAGGTTAAAAACTGAAACTGATATAAGCCTGCAAACAGATAATGGTCCTCTCAAGATGTTCCTCATGGATGGCAGTTCTGGGAGCTAGAATGTGTGGGATAATGCAATTAAATACATATCTATATTGAGCAGAATGTGATGAGGAACCTTGACCTCATATGACCACTCACACAAAGCTTGTGCATCCTACTCTGGATCTCAAGTCTTAGAGCTTCACTATCTACTCTCTCCTATAAAACTTCTGTCTTCCCCATCTCATCTCTTTCCTATATACTCTCTCTTCTCTGTTCTCTCAGAGGAGAATTCCTGAGAATATTCAGGCTATAGCTAGCCTGGCTGTGGTTCTGGTTGTTCCATATCGAGTATGCCTAGACTCTGAAACACATTTATTCAACATTGAAAATATGAATATGAATATCTCAAATTCACCCTTTTTGATTTTGTTCATTTTAAGACATAGTTTGGAACAATGCACTACAAGTACATGACATTTACAGAGTGGGCTCTTTGATCATTTTGAATTTCTGCTAATTGTATGAGCATCACCATAGTTAGCCTGGCAATGCCTCTGGTTTTCCCTCCTCTTCCTCCTCCCTCCTCCTCCTCTACTTTCTCCTTTCTATATGCTCCCTCTCTTTCCCCCCCAATCTCTTCTCAGTCTCTCTCTTTCTTATGGTATCACCACTCTCCGCTTGGCTGGCAGTAGTGCCTCTGGTTGTTCCCCTCTCCAGCTCCTCCTCCTGCTCTCCTCTCCCCTCCAATTATCCCAGCCATGCCGGGTCACCCTGGTTCAAAGACCTGGAGCAGCTGGAGTGTCGAGGGGCCACCTCAGGAGAGAGGAGAGACATGCACACGGAACACTGAACGGGGCGGAAACAGAAAACCGTACACGTGTCAAGTCCGAGAGAGACTGGTAAGAGAGAGAGAGAGGAAGAGAACACCACTTCATGTTAAGGGACAGAAAATGAAAGAGAGGGATGGTGTGAGAGAGATCCCCAATAGACCAATGATGCAGCTCTCCTGGGCTCCTCCTATAATGTGATCTACTGTTCCCTTCAGGAGTCGTGACCTCAGCTTTGTGGACTGTAAGTCAGACACACACGTGTTACATGTGCATCAGTGTTATGTCCACACATCTGTAAATACATACTGTAGATGTTTGACTATGAAGATGTTCACACGCTTCTGAACAAATAGATGAGAGGTTACAAATTGACGCACTGCACAGATAGACATGCACATGTCCACACACAATATAGCCATACTCCAGTTCTCTAGTTAAATGGGAAATTATCAACAAAAAGGTCAACACACACATGAAATGCACTCCTACACACTAAACATATGTACGCAGACACACGCCATATGCTCAAATTTCCACTTCAAAAGGGAAGTAGTCAACTTGGTAGCTGTGTCTGCAGAGGGAGGGCTGAGCTGTCACTGCTAATTCTCTGAAAGCTGTTCTGTGGTCAAAATGGAAGCTACCATACAGAGGAAGGGGGTGACCACACTGTAGACAGCTCTCTTCTTCCTTCCTCTTTCTCTGATGCCTTTGAAACCACCTCACGGGTCAAGAGAGTCCGAGTGCAACATTGCCTGGCGTAACCGTGGGATACCCTGGTAGTTCTCAAGGAAAGCATCCTTCATGAGGTAACAAGAGGACAGCATTGAGGGAAGGAGTCAAGACTGCATCAGCTTCCGTTGGCTACAGCTGCGACCAAAATGGCATCCTATTCCCTATATAGTGCACTACTTTTGGCCATAGCCCACAGAGAATAGGGTGCCATTTGGGACGCATGCTACGTCTATCGAAAACCGGTCTAGCTACTAAAAGAGACAGCAAATTGCTGACACTTAAAGTACTCCTACTAACCCAAGGCCTAATACGTTCAAATTGCAGTCAAGAAGTTTGACAATAAAAACACAGAGCCACAACCATTGGGCTATAAAACTTGATATCTCTGCTATTATTTGGTAATATGGGATACCATATTACTGAATATTCAGCGGTGTCTACCATCGAATACTTTTTTTCTGCTTGGGATTTCTCCATTATGGACATAATGGCACCAAAGCATGGAGCTGTCCTAGACACATGGGTTGCTTCCCAAATGGTACCCTATTCCCTATGTAGTTCACTACTTTTGACCAGAGCCATAGGGGCCCTGCTCAAAACTTGTGGACTAAATTGGTAATAGGGTGTAATTTGGGACACAACCATGGCTTTGGCATTGTGTGTTAGTAATTGGTTACAGGCCCTTGTTGCAGACCTCAACCATAGAGGAGAAGTCATTTGTAAGAGCAATGAAGAGGAAAGAAGAATGGGAGTTGGAGTCTTTTGGTTTTGGGACAGTTTGGGAGAATTGTTCCAGAACTTTCGAGTCTAGACCATGAGCCAGGTTCATCCCACAGTAAGATCTATAGTGCTGTAAGAACACCATGACACCAGGGTTTCATCCTTAGATTGTCCTGTAGATGAGCATTGGCTACTGAACACATTAGTGTCTCTCCCCCATCCCGTGTCGTCCCATCTGCTTTTGCTGACTGTGTGTATGTTTTATACATCCCTATGTGTGTTGCTTGTGTTCTCTAGCCCAGTGCCAGGTTGTAGCTTCAGCCCCACAGTGAGTGGTGGTGAGTGGAGGAGTAGGACTTCCTCTTTGTACTCCTGCTCTGAAGTCTCCTGTTGGCAGTAAAGAAGATCCTACTTCCTGCTCCCCCCGTTTCCAGGCCTGATTAAGAGGGCCCTAGAGGGGACAGGTGCTTGGAAGCTTCCAAGAGAGCCTGTTTAAGGGGGGTTTTAGGGGGACTGGCAGAGAGGGAGGGGATGGCAGGGGAAAAGAGGCATTTTAGCTTTTGTGACGAGAGAGAACGAGGGAAAAAGCCTTGGCTCATGCGAAAGAGGGTCTGGACAATGCACTGACTGTACAGCTGCCACATAGGCGGATACAACAACCCCCCCAATATGCAGCTGTGGTGTCATAAGGAGGAGGTGACGGAGTGTGTCAAACAGTGGGATACACACACTCAATACACTCCAGAGAATCACTAGTGGACAACTGTTCAGCTACAGGTCAAGGAAATTATGTGGGAGGATGGAAGAGACAATTTTGAGCCAGTAGATGGAGTCATGATATTTGCTCAGACGGGGTGTGTGTGTGCATGCAAGTCCACCCAGGGGGCACACAAGGACACTTTCATCCCTGTTAAATGAATCTAACAAACTGCAGACGTGAGTAAAGGGAACATTTGCTAAATCACTAGCAGAGCGGCAGGGAGCAATGTCGTTGGTATTATTAAGACATGAGAATGTGTCTTTGCAAATGTCATGAAAATTAAACAAATGGCCACCATCTGGGTGTTTAATACAATTCTGCTAGTAATGTATACATGTGTAGAAGACTGCAGGACGTTGACACAATCTTGTATGCTCTGAGACATACTGAAGTCACTTATCGATTTCCCCATCTATTAGAATAAACGCTTTTAACTTTGCATGAATGTCTAGGATTTTGATGTCTATATTTCGGTTGGTTAATATGAAGTAATTCTCTAATTTGCCAAGTCGCGGTTCCTGGTCACATACACAAATGTCTCCTAAATGCTTTGTTGTACATCATCTTAGTCTCCCTGGCACACCCTGCTTGCTTTCACAGTCTATAGGATTGGGTACACTAGTTTTCCCAGACAGTGGGTACTCTAGTTCCTAAAGTCAAAGGAGTCTTTGTGAAACCTGATTCCCAAAGCGATACCTCCGTGTCTCTGTGGACATGATGACTTCTACATGTGGTCGAAAGAAAAAGGGTGGTGGTCAGACTAGAGGAAGTGGTGAAGTCCCAGACGTGCTTGTGTGTGTGTGTGAGTGTGTGTGTCCATAACTCACCAGTGTCCAGTAGGTGGTATGAAGTACATGCAGCAGTGAACCCGTGAGTCTGGGATCCTCTTCTTCCTGTTGATGTTGATCTCTTCCTGCAGGTACTGCTCATACTGGTCGTTGATGAACTTCATGATTGGCTGCCAGCTGTTGGGGGGCATATGGGAAATGGAGTTCACAGACAGGCAACGACACATAGACATTCACTCTGTGGTAGGGATAAAAGAACTACAACTCACCAGTTCTCGTTGTTGATGTGGTCCCCAAAGCCGGGAGTGTCGATTACCGTTAGTTTCATCCTCACGCCCTTCTCTTCGATGTCTAGACAGAGAGACAGGAGAAATCCATGACATGTATTACATTGTTAATGTATACTGCATACCACAGATCTCTGTGTGTGTGTGTGTGTTACCGTGACTGATGGACTTGATCTCGATGGTCTTGGGGATCCTCTCCTCGGGGGTGGATACCACAGACTTCCTGCTGACCTTAGACTTGAACAGGGTGTTCATCAGGGTCGACTTCCCCAGCCCACTCTGACCTGTTAGGGACAAACACAGGGGGGTGAACTATAGGTCTGGACACACACATGTATTGGACACACACACAAAAAACAGAGGGGCTTTTCTTCAACCAAGAGGCTCTTCTAACCTGTTGTGAATGTACAATAGCTTTCCTGACTCTGAACAGAGACCCTACACACAAGTAATGTGAAAGATCGAGATAGGCAAAGAGTGTGTCCTCATGCACTCACTGACTATGACAATAGGGTCATTCCAGCCTGCTGTAAGTTCATTCTAGCCTGCTGTAGGGTCATTCTAGCCTGCTGTAGGGTCATTCCAGCCTGCTGTAGGGTCATTCCAGCCTGCTGTAGGGTCATTCCAGCCTGCTGTGGGGCTACAGAGGACAGGTGGACCGGCAACACACTCCTCACCAAGACCCAGAAGAGGACTGGCCACCCCTCAGAGCCTGGTTCCTCTCTAGGTTTCTTCCTAGGTTCCTGCCTTTCTAGGGAGTCTTTCCTAGGCACTGTGCTTCTACATCTGCATTGCTTGCTGCTTGGGGTTTTAGGCTGGGTTCTGTATAAGCACTTTGTGACAACTGCTTATATACAATACATTTGATTTATTCCTCTACCTCCCCATAGGCATCCATCAGCAGCAGGCCTGATAGTGGGCATCGGCAGCCCAGCCGTGCCAGCTTAATTAGCCTTTATGCATAGGGGACACTGCTGCGGTCTAAGAGGCTTTAGGGCTGGGATTAGGGTAATACATCTCATAGAGAGGCCTTACGAGATTGGAGTCTGATTACATCTCCACTGACCTTTCACACAATGCCTTTAGAGAGGGACAGAGAGTACTGCTGCTGTGTCATAGAAGAGCAGGGTTTACCAAACTCTGTCCTGGGGCTCCCCATGGGTGCACGTTTTGGTTTTTGCCCTAGCACATCACAGCTGATTCAAATAATCAAAGATGGATGATGAGTTGGTTATTTGAATCAGCTGTGCACCTGGGGGGTGGGCAGGACAGAGTTTTGGAAAAACTGTCATAGAGGATAGACAAAATGGCCACTTCAAAACCAATCAGAGTTAGGCATTTGTACAGTAGTAAAATGACTTCACATCAAGTGCTACCCTGTATACTGTAGGTCATTGGATCAACTATATCCCTGTAAAAGGACAACCTTATAAAATGTCTTCTTTATCTTAATCATCAGGACTTGATTCATAATCATACTGCTCATGTATATGGACAGATCATATGAACAGATAGGGACGCGTCAACAAGCAATAACCCTCTCTATTCTAACCTGGAATTTATCATGTGATTCCAATATCCACTATAACATGTATGTGCACAATTGCACAACATACCCTGGGCTTGTGAACACAACTATCACATTCACTACAGGTCTGCCTTTCTCCAACGTTACAACTCCAATTCAAGTGGGCACACGTTTCTGACGTCTCTGATGTAGCGCTGACTGAATGCTGCCCTTTTCCAAAAAGAACTATGAGGATTGGGATGCTTATCAGTGACGGTGTGCCAACAAGATAAAGATATAGCCTAGTCAGAGATTATTAGCAATGACAGAAATTAATACTTTTTCACCTTGCCCAGATAGGTCTTCATTGACTTGGTGCCATGAGATGCCACCCTTATTTTAAACAACATTCCAATGGTTTAGGATTTCCTCAGAACCACTATGACATCTAGTATGTATACAAAACACAGTCCCGCAGGGCTCATATACAAACACACCGTGTGTGTGTGTGTGTGTGTGTGTGTGCGCTTTACCACCATCCCCACTGACTGCCACGCAAACACAAATACACAGAGACATCTAAGCTGGGAAGAGAGACTCGAGGTCTTTCAACATGCTCTTTGTAGCTTTAATCACTTCTCACCGTGGTAAAGTACAGGTAACTGCCAAAATAAAGGAAACACCAACATAAAGTGTATTTAATAGGGTGTTGGGCCACCACGAGCCAGAACAGCTTCAATGCACCTTGGCATAGATTCTACAAGTGTCTGGAACTCTATTTGGAGGGATGCGACACCATTCTTCCACGAGAAATTCCATCATTTGGTGTTTTGTTGATAGTGGTGGAAAACGCTGTCTCAGGCGCCGCTCCAGGATCTCCCATAAGTGTTCAATTGGGTTGAGATCTGGTGACTGAGCCGCACGCACGCGAGCTGTGGTGAGCTGAGGACAGAGTAGAGTGTGCTAGAGCTGGTCAACATTAATAGGCATCATTACTCCACCATCTCTCTGCCTGACAGCTTTCTTTTATCTACTGAAGGATGCATGCCACTATGTGTAGTGTGTACCAATCTCGGGGTAAGGGTTCCCAAATGGGGTTTCACGCTAGTTAGTCCTGGAAGAACAAGCACTCACTCCAGGCTCATTTCCCAATGACAGTTTGGCTTTGAAAACATTTAAATGCAGTGTACAGAAAAGAAAGTGTCTCTCTCTCTCTGGCGATGGGTAGATGTAACAGATGTGATGTTGAGGATGTGTGTGTTCAAGGGTGGGTTCAACACCACTTATCCACTACCATGATCTCAAAATGGTGTGTGTTGCATGTGTGTGTGTTTTGCTTGTGTGTGTTCACTGTTCAACACCACTCACCGACAATCATGATGTTGAGCTCAAAGCCCTGTTTCATGGCCTTCCTCCTCATCTGCTCCAGGATGGCGTCGATACCCACGTAGCTGAAGTCGCCAGCGCCATTTGATGCCCCCTTAGCAGGGGGGTGCGGATGTGGTGGGGCGGACATGTTGCTGTGGCTCGGATTGAACTCTGACCCTGATGGAGAGAGATCAGTGTCAGCATGGAACATTGTAAATAGGAGAGTTCCATGCTGAGAAACATTATGATTCATTTTTTCCATCTCACTCGTCACTGTAGCTGCCGATCGAAGAGTAGATATCACGACTGTTCACTGAATTTCAGCTGGTTATATCAAACTGTACTGAACTCAAACTACACCAGACAAATGTAACTTCAACTGATTCTAGTCAACAGTAGTGGCATGTTTGGTGAGTCGTGGATGCCATGCTTCAGCAGCATCAACATGAGTGTCAACTCCACCTCACACAATAAGTCAGACTCTAACAAGAGTCCAACTGTAGCCACAGAACAAGTCACTCAAACAACAACATAAAATAGATGCATCCGGATCCCTCAGGAATTAAACTGAGTGAGGCAGCCAACAACCTATAGAGACTATAGCCCAATAAATTACACACAGAACAGCGGACAAAACACATCCTCTCCCCAACGACACATAAATCTGAAGATACTGTATACATGCGTGTTTTACAATAGCCATTAATTTTGTTTGGATTCAGACTTGTGAATTACTGTGTTATGGTGGACAATGGTGGCAAACTGCAGCTGTAAAGTGGATGTAGTACTCACAATATTTCAGACTACAAAAGTTACACAGATTCTTGTTGTAGAGGAGTAGCAGTTGCAAGTTACAACTCACCTGAGCGAGTGACTGGGAGGCAGGTAGATGAAAGGTACAGTCTACAGTGAAATAGACCTAAAATAGTCCAAAGTTGTTGAAGAGAAGGTATGACTGCCTATCGTAGCAAGGCTAACTGCCAAAGCAGTGTCGGGACGAGCCTACTGAACAGACAACAAGCTGCTTTCAACTGTTGCATGTACACACACGCATACACGCTGGCGCACGCACACACTCACATGTTAGCCACGGGCGGGGTGGGAGGAAACAGTTGGGGGTTTTCTCCTCTGACAGTGTGCTGTGGTATTATCTGCTGCTCAAGGTCTACAGACCCTCCAAATCACAGACAGAGACATATCACAGCCACTAAAATAGCTGTGAATGAATTCAAACCCTCAAGCAGAAGATACACAGACAAACTTTAAGACTAATGCACATACTGTAATCACAGACCACTATGAACATACTCCAGATAAGGGGAAATGTGGCTGTTGTTTCCAGTGCTTTAAATTGTAGTTTGTACAGTACAGTACACTCACAGTAGGAGAGAAAGTATAACTCACTTTTGCGTTTGATAATGTCAGCTCTAGCTGTATGTGACATGTCATTGTAACCACCTCACCCTGCTCCTGTAGCAGTGTGCCTGTTGACCTGATGAATATGGATGAGTATCAACAGCCATATCTGTCTTCACAGTGCAATCTTCACCGCAGTCTCTGGGTTTCCTGTTCATCACACTAGCATCCACATCCTCTCGCTTTGACCAGAGACAGACCTCCATCTCTGGCAGAGGAACAACAGTATCTCTCCTTAGCTTGCTGGGTCTGATGATTAAAGTGTTGCGTTTTGTTTCACCTTGCACACTGGAAGTCATTGTCACACTGCACCTTATTTCCTGTCCAAGTCTGATAACGACAATTGTGAGTATGCCCATAAAACAAGACGCCTCAGATCTGACACTAAATGCAATGCCATGTATAGAAACTTCTCCAATGGCTTTCTACACAATATGTAACCATTTTGTTTAACCATTACAGTATGAGCTTTCTTTTGACTTGGAAGTAGTAAACTTTCCACAAGAAAGCCCTGGGAAAAGTGCTGTTAATAAACACAGAGCTATAATTTCAGGGCCGAACCCGGACCCTTGTCCAGTAACTACCACACGCGCATACATCGCCTACACACACTTCCCGACCACACACCCTTCCAAACCCACCCACTCAGACACTCATCCCAGAATGTAGGACTCCCACTCCCAGTAGAATCTCTGAACGACTGAATCTCTGAACTGAATAGTCAGACAATACAACTGAAGAGAATGAGTAGGTGGTGCCAGTTGGGTTGGACCACACCTTCACTAGCCAGTATCTGTGAGGAGCTGCAGTCTCGACCTTCAGTTTCCCAGACCCTGTGATGATTGATGGAGGCTAAGATACCACAGAGCGGCTTGGCTGAAACATCCTGGGAACATGAACTTTGTAGAAGAAAAATCCATTCTTCTTTACCGTCATCAATCAATACACATCACGTCAGAGTATTGGGTTTTGTTTTTGTATTCCCTCAACCGGCAAAGCACTCTTCAACTTCTTTATGATTCCTTCATTAAGCTTACATTAAAACTCTGACATTAAACATTCTATCAAATGGGGAAATGTGAACCCTTTGGTCGGTTGAAACCGCATTAGCCCCTACTGTATATGTGAGAACAGACAATCCCCTGTAGTGGGAATAAGATGTAGAAGAACACACAGAGTGCTCATTTGATGGTAAAAGGGAGATACAGCATGACACAATGGCATGTACAGGGCCTGTGTTGATGTTATGGTGTCATGTGCACATCTGGCAGGGTGTGTGTGTGTGTGTGTGTGTGTGTGTGTGTGTGTAGCATGTCTCGGTAGAGCGTGTCTCAGCAGCATACCACCCTGCATCCCATTGCTGGCATGCCTCTGAAGCTAAGCCGGGATTGGTCCTGGTTCGGTCCCTGGATGGGAGACCATATGCTGCTGGAAGTGGTGTTGGAGGGCCAGTAAGAAGCACTCTTTCCTCTGGTCAAATAAATATATCCCAGTGCCCCAGGGCAGTGATTGGGGACATTGCCCAGTGTAAGGTGCTGTCTTTCGGATGGGACTTTAAACGGGTGTACTGACTGTCTGTGGTCACTAAAGATCCCATGGCACTTATTGTAAGAGTAGGGGTGTCCTGGCTAAATTCCCAATCTGGCCCTCATACCATCATGGCCACCTAATCATCCCTAGCTTCCAATTGGATCATTCATCCCCCCTCCTCCCCCCTGTAACTATTCCCCAGGTCGTTGCTGTAAATGAGAATGTGTTCTCAGTCAACTTCCCTGGTAAAATAAGGGTTAAATCAAATAAATAAAAGAGTAAGGACCCTACTGCGTAGGAGGCAGCCTCTCTGAGAAAGAGACAGGATACAAACAGGCACTAATGACATATTAAGGGTCTATAAGCCATCCCACCCCTGGGTACCACAATGCCAGCTCCCCCTGTGCCATCTGGTGGGTAACGTCTGTGTTCTCTAAGAATAGAGACAACACACACACACACACACACACACACACACACACAAAACACACCACACAGAGAGGAGAAAAAGGGTGCAGATGGCAGTAACGTTACTCAGGCTTAAACAGCGGTCTGAATTCTCTGTTCCTGTTTGACTGGCACAACAGAAGAGAACGATCAGTTTCGCTCTCCTCAACCACTGATAATGTCCACTTCTTGTCTCATCTCTAGCCTAGTCTGGCCTTAGGCCTAGCCAGAAACATTTCACCTTCCAAGGACCCTTCCTCATCATGTATGATCTACAAGAAAAACAACATTGGCATTTGAAGATCCAATAAATGGGGCACCATCAAACTTTTATAGAAAGCGTTGCCTTCCTTTTATGAGTCAGAATAGCGGCCAGGCGTAAACATTGTTCTACAGAGCACTGGTAGCCTTTGAAGCCTGCTGGGTACAGACAGTCAGACATCTCTGGCTGAATCACCTGATTAAAACTGACCAGTGAAAATATGACTACTACACATTCTAAACTTAGCTCACGCTAATGAACCTAATTTGATGTGAAGCTCCCTCCAATACACGTTGCATCCAAAGTGAAGACGAAGGGCCCCCTAAGCCCAACAAAGCAGCTGTTGCTTATTCAAATGAAATAAGATATTTGACCTGTAAAAACCTGTGCCTAGCTGACCCCAGAATGAACCCTCATAAACACAACATCAAAGCATTTTCTCCACTTATTAACACTTCAAACTGACTACCAAACACAGTGTTTACCAGAACTCTGAAAACAGACAACTGTTATGACTGGGGTCGAAAAAAGGCTAACTGACATTTCTGACTTGAGTGTGAAAAGAGATTGAAGTATTAACGGAGAGAACGTGGCGCTTTCCTGAATGGACATAGCTGAGTTTAAAGGTTCAGTCCATCCTCCTTTTCCTTGCATGGATGAATGAAGGAATGGACGAGACCCTAAGAGCTGCTGTTTCCAGACTCCACATCCAGATTCGCTCCATTGAGAAACACCTCTGATTCATCTAAACACTGGTTCATTACACTCATCCTAGATCAATGTGGACCATATGGAGACCCAGCACCTTGGTCAAATGAGGAGGATTCTATTTAAAAGACATGAAAGGATAAGGGTGGAAATAAGATGTTTAGAAGTTGAATTATCTTGTGTAATGAAGAGGTTGAGATCTGAATGTTGAAAGCTAATCATGCTACATAGTATGGTAGGTGACCGCATTTCTGGTGGTTATGGCTAGGGTATGGGATGGTACCAGTGTCTGTGTGCCACATCTAACCTCTTTACTGTCATGTATAATGAATGTGAATGAGAATATGGGCTCATACAGAGATATGTAAATCTGTGTTTTCTAGTAGAGATTGAGCATGAGCTACATTTTTCAACCCCATACATAAGGTTTCAGGCTCGGTGGTAAATTCATGGTTTCCTGTTTGTCAGTAGAGACACAACGGAAGAGGCCTAGACGAGACAGCGAAAGAGACATCAATGTGAAATGTATCAACTCATATGCCACCTGAAGACTATAAAGGTCAACGTGTTAAAAAAATAAATATATATGATACAACATTTCAACATCTGATAGCACTTCTGATTCATTTCAAATGATAACTACACTGACCATTTCAAGACCTTAAACATAATCCCCCAATTTCCCTGTTAATAATGGCAACTGACAGCAGTGTTGCACTAGTACTACTATAGAGTTTCAAACCACAAACCTCCATCTTAAAAAGCACAGCCACCACATTCCCCACTCCCCTCAAGGGTTGGGTTCAATACCAATTCAATTCAGTCAGTAATCCAGTCAGTGAACTGAAATTCAAATTCCTGCTCGTTGAAAAGCAATCCCCTTACCCTAAATGCACCCTTTGCCCACCCGGTGCTCCTGGCCAGCCAACACGGCGTTCCCAAAGGAATGTTCTCTCTCTCCGGAATCTCTCCCACATCCCATTCGGATACAATCCGCCCACAGTCTGCACCGGAGGATCCCTTACTGATTTACATACACCCATAACCAAATATTGTTCTGCTTTCATTCTGCCATTCAAATATTCATAATATCAGGCACATCCTGACCCAAATACAATATTCAAAGAGTGTAATTCATATTATGAATTTCATTCAAACTTGTTTGTAGAGTTATGAAACAATGGGTTGGTTGTTTGCGGAGAGCTGTGCTTTCGGTTTGTTTTGGTTTTAATATATTGAATATACTGTAATACAATTTGGCGGAACCTTATTCAAAACGCGTTAAAAACCAATAGGAAACTCCAGAACCTTTCCAATTTAAACCACAACCTCTTTAGTTGCCTTTCTGTTGTGAATGATATGACAAAGTGTTTGTTTTTCTCCCTTCTTTGAGGCAAATCCAACCTTTGATGACAGCAGAACTCTGGATACCACAGAGAAGTAAGGGGAAAATGGAGGAGAGAGACCATGACAATGATTAATCTCATGCACAACGTGTAATTTGGCCTGATGTTGGGCCATGCTGTTTAAATTGTGTGGTCAATGATTGAGCTGGTCCATCAGGACTGGTCTGTGGGAGAGAAAGAGAGAGATCTGGACCAGGACCACATGTCCTCCTCTCTTCACAAGACAACGGTTCATAAAAAATTTGAACTCTACAGCACCAGTCATCCAATCCAGTTTGAAGGTCTCTGGACTTCTGAGGAGATCACACCAGTTCAGCTGCTTCCTCATAATTGGTGAAACACACATTGTGACAGATCCTATTTGCATGGCTCAGATTAGAGACAGTCTATGCCTCCTCTTCAACCCTCTAGCACATGGATGCCAAGGATGTCATGCCTCTCTGTTTGGGCTTTGGGAGGAAGCCTAGGCATCATCCGCTTCTTGGTCACACACCGTTACTGATCCCCTTAACAACACGGTCTGCTCTTTTAAAGTCCCAGTTCGTAGGGGGTGACCTTGTGTCCCAGTAGCCTGGTCCCAGATCTGTTTGTTCCATCTTGCCAATTCCATTTGTGTCAATGTCACGCCAGGACTTGGCAAGACAGCACAAACAGATCTGTGATGAGGCTAGGGTCTCAGCCCTGTACCGACCAAATGGTCAGACTCTCTCTCTCCCTCCATCTCTCTCGCTCACCCCTTCCCCCTCTCGCTCCCTCTCTTTTACAGGAGATGACATTTCCATAGATTTGGCGGCTGTCTCTCTCTTGAGGAGGAAGCGATCGTTAAGCATTCTGCTGTCTTGAGCAGATATAT